CCATCATGCAACATTCATACCAAATAAAGAAGATTAAATGGGTGCCATGTCTTCAAGAATCCGGTACTTGTTGAAAAATGGGAACTATTTCAGAATTGGTTAAATGATTCTGAGTTAAATATCAAAATTCAATGCTTAGTTAAATTCGGTCAAGAATTTTATCACCCATTTGCTGAATTTCTCATCGGTTACGATTCCCATCCAAGGGTTATACAGCCTGATAATTCATTACAGTGTTTGCCACCTGGTCGTCGAGCATATCAAATGCTGGACTTTGTTAATAATTTAACACGTAACTTCACATCTATTTTAAAAAATCTTTATCTATTTTTTGGCGATAAGCTTTTGCAGAGTACAGAAACTATGGATAATTCACAAATAGAATTATTAGTTAAAAAATTAAAACAAGGTATACAAAAAGGACTTGAATTGCACCAAAAATGGTTGGATTGTTGGCTTTATCTTCCCTTAAGCATGTGTCTTCTTGGTGAAGATAATGCCAAAAAATTTGCATGTAGTTATTGGCATGTTGTGCTTAAAAAACCTTGGCCGGAAGTTTCTAGTGTGGAAGAACTTTGCTATGCAAAGTTTCTTGAAGTAGATATTGTAGAAGAATTTAATGATTTTGGTTTCAAAAATACATTAAATGATGAATTATTTTTCAAGAATTTAGTTTATTCGTTAATAAATCAACAGTTCTACTTTATCAATGTTCACAGCTCTATGACTTCGTTAAAAATAAAATTTGATACATTATTATCCACCAGCAACAAATAGAAAGCCTTTTTAATAAATGTGATTTGAAAACACACCCTAATATAATTGCTGAAACTCAACAATCCAAAATGTGTCTTTCAGCAACTAAAATTAAAGACTTTCAGTTTACTGATCAACAACTAAAAGACATTCGAAGTGAAAATAGAATTGCCAACAAACAAAAAGATTCCACTTCCTCAATTCTCTACTCGGATCAACAGTGTGAACAAACTGCAAACAATCTTTTTAAAGAATTATTTCAATGAAGTTTTTATAACATTAAGTTTTTTATTATTAAAGTATAATAGCTTTAATGTTAATGTAATTTTACGATTGATATCAATAATTTTTTGATTTTTTTATTACACTTTAATTTTGAATTCTATTGCCCAGTATTATCGCCGGGCATAGTTAGGATCTACATGGGAGTAGAAATATCGAATAATATGTAAAAAAATCTGTACTAGTAATTTTTAT